GCATGGAGCATGACACTAGAAGAGACAGCGTGGCACAAACAATCTCCGGATCGGCGATCGGTCCTGAGGAGGAGCGGCGATGCCTCGTGGCCGCAGCGAAGCCCAAGGGCTGTGCTTGCACAGGGCGCAGTGCAGGGACCACTGGGGGCGGAGTCGATGGAGAGCGCAAAGAACTTCGCGTACAGAGTCACGCGCCGCGGCGGGGCTCTCGTTGGTGATCGCCTGGGCGATCCGCATGACTGCCTGGCAGGCCACGGATGGAAAACAGGCTTTGCGACGTGTAGAGTCTGAGAGGCTGGAGGGTATAATGGTCGGGCTGCTGCAAACAATTCCAAATTGCATATGACTGCGAAACGTGTTTAGGCAAGCCTCGCCTGTGCGCTTCGCAAGAGATCGTTCCGCATGTTCAAGATCTTGGCCCTGGCACAGGTGGCGAGCTGCTTGCCCGCGTCGGAGCCGAGGAACTCGCGAATGGCCGCGCTGATTGAGTCGTAGATGGACAGCCTCAGATGCTTCATGCCATGTGGCACACGCATGGCGGAACCTCTATGAAGCCCACAGTCTAGCAAGTCAAACACAATTCTGGCGGCATTGCGACTTGGGGCCAAGTAGCGCGTTTTCGTCCAAGGTGATGGTAGTCTTCCTGCCAAGAGAATTCTGTGCCAGGAAGAAGTGCACGTCTCGGAGCAGCTTCTCGGACGCGTCGCATTTGAGCAGCGCCCCGTCGCTATCAGGCAGAAAGTCCGAGGGCACCAGCGCCAATGAGAAGCGTTTGTGAAAGCCTTGGTGCGCGCGGGCGAGCAGGGAGCTGGACGCTTTTGTTTTGGACTTCCGGGCCTTGAGCATCTGGGGCGAGGCACTTCTCTCCGATTTCATTCTGGAACATCAAGCGCACGCCCACCTTGTACGTGCATCGCCCTAGGATACTCTGGCCAGCTGCTGTGTTGGTTGCGATGTCTTCGGCTTGGCTCCACTGAATAAGGCGCTGCCGTGATAGGAACCTCGCGGGCGGCTGGGAAGGGGCGGCTGGGGCCCCAACGTAAACAACACAAACTGACGGTGGGAATCACTGGAGTTGGATTTTGGAAAGAGGGTGCTCTCAGACAAGTGGCTGGATCCCGCTGTCTTTGTCGCTGAACCCTGGCACGAACACCGTGCAACTGCCTTCAGAAGAAGAGACGAGCCCTTCTTTGTGCTCCTGGATGAGACACTCGCATAACAGGATAGAACGGTCCTGCCAGTTGCTGGGGCCGCTATTCAGGAGGAGGTCAGTGGTGTACTGCTCGAGCCCAGTCTTCCTCGCACTGACGCCCGCGAGGATGGCCACAGCCTGCGGCACGGAGACAAATGCTTGACATCGGGTCTCGTGGGTGAGCACGGACGTGGGAGCTTCCATGAAAGTGATGTTGGAGTCCAGCATTGTCAAGAGCGCCTCCAGGGGGAAGCCGTGCACGGCTGCCACGCGCTGACAGGCTAGGAACCAGGCGCCGGATGGAGCTGCTGGCCGTTGTGCTCAGTGCACTGCGCGATCTGATATGGATCTCGCGGGTCTTGGGCAATCCTTGGCGGTTACAGGGGCACGCGCTGCTGCTGGAGGGGGGGGGGTGGGGGGCCACAAGAGACACAGAGGCAACGGTAGCGGACAAGCACGTTAAGTGAACACGCTATCATACGTGGAGCACGAACGCCAAGCAGCTCGAGAAGCCACTTCTGAACTGTCTCAAAGACCTGTTCCTCGTTGCGCAGACCGTCGTAAACGCACCCGGCAAAGAGCTGGCTGTTGGCAAGGGCAGTGGTGACCGGCTCATCCTCATCCTGCACCCGGCGCCGCTTGGCGGCAGCAGAGCGGAAGCTGACGCCATGCTCTGCATCGCTGTAGCACTTTTCCTGGCTGCTGGGGCCCTGCATTGCCCAACTCCAGCTCAGAAGCCAGCGCCTGCACCAGCTCCTCGTCAGCCACCGCAGCCTGCTCGGGCTGAGGACCTCCCTCTTCCCCTTGCTTGCCGCGGCGGGCTGCTCTCCTGTGTGTTCGGGATGACAAAGGTACCAGCACGCTTCTTGCTGTAGTCGGCACCGCACTCTGGGCATGTTGTTCTCCCGGCATGCCGCAAGCGGCACGAATCATGCGTGCAATGACCGCACGCGTGCTCCGTGACTCCCTCATTCCCAGGAGCCAGATCCCCCAAGCAAAAAGAGCAATGCGCCATCTTGGTGTATCTACAGCTCTGACCCAGGCTGTCTCAGACCCTGCATCCTGCGGAAAGACCCCGGAAACTCGCCCGAAACCATCCTCCAAGCATGATCTGCAAATGATTTGCTGGGCCCCCACGCGGGGTGTAGCAGAGCACTTGCTGCACATCTGTGCTCGACTTATAAGAACACACGTACAATTGAACACGTATGCGAGGCATGCCTCCATACCTTCGTCTGATTAGACCATGTGCGCCCTTCCCCCCCCAGCTTCAAGCTCATTGAATCGGCGGTTTCTCTGTCAACCGACGTCAAATCGGGCCAAACAGGCAACCGCCAAACAAATGGTAGCCAGTCATCTTTGCACAGCCAATGTTTCATCGGCCTGCCTCTTCGCCCGCCCCTTTGCACCTGTGGTGACAGAATCTCCCAGCAGCAGCAGGCAGTAGGCATGCGGCATTGAAGGGCCTGTGACGTGCAGCCGGCTGCCAAACGATACAAACAGGCATATGATGTATAACAATGTATATATATATATATATATGTAGAATCGAAGAAGAAATCAAGGAGCAGAATCAAAGAACAATCGATATCAAGGAGCAATGGCACCAAAGAGGAAAAAGCACATGCGATCACAGAAGAAAGGGGTCGAATCACCCGCCAAGCTCCAAGTACCAATTCGAATTGTCGGTGACTCGGTCAAAATATGCTTCCTGTCACCCATCGGTTCGTAGCATGTCCGAGGGAACCAGCCCACCCAAACCGCAGAATTGCTGACTACCTGAGCAATGGACATGGAATCTGTCCCATCCCAAAGCACAAGTTGACCAAATCAACCCGAGATTTCCTGCTGGCTTCCCTTCAAGGCACTGAAAAGGCTGGCATACAAACCATGTATTTGTCTCCGAATTGACCTTCCTGCCAAAACCAACAAAACTCCGCGGCAAGCGGTTGCCCTTTAATACCCATCAGAAGTGCGCCGATCTACAAAACGGGGGCCAATGGGAAGCCACACGCGCGGCCGGGACCTGCATGGAGTCCCGGAAGAGGAATGCACCCTGGCTGTCTGGAGAGGCGAAAAGCGCGAAAGCGCGGTTTGCTGCATTCATTTGGGAGGTTCTGTGGGACTGCCTCCTTTCTTGGAGTTGGCGCGAATCTTTGTAGTGGTGTTTTAAGTGGGAAACCAAGGAAACCCCTCCGAAATTAAGGATTTTTTGGGTTGGTTGCCTATGTTAAAACACACCTCCGTGCAGACCTCCCCACGGTACAAGAACAAAAAGTCGCGGCAAGTCGCATGTTCAAAAAAGGTCTGCGTGTTCAACCCAAGAAGAGGCATTAAAAGGTCCTCAAAAATGAGCCTGTTCATGTCAGGGCTCCCTAGTCAACAAAACCAGCAAAACAGACCACACTGGCCATATCTGTGAGAAGTGAGTCAAATAAGGTCGAACAGCGAAAAACAACACAACCACTAAACCACTGAACCAAGCAAAACCGAGAAAAAAACATCGGCCACTGCCCGGGCTCCCTGGGAAGCGGAACCCCATCCGATCGCCTCGCCATCTCGCTTCTGCCCAAAAAGGTGTCTATAGTCCAGAAACAGGAGTGAGGCATTGTCTCATACTGTGGATGGCTACCAGGCATCAGTTTGGATGAGAAAACACCAAGCTGTGCAAAGTGGACCTTATCCACAGTCGAATTGTTTCACCCCCTAATACACTTTCCCTTTTGGTCCTAGGGAGTGACATGGGAGCAACGGACCTCCCATTGCCATGGGAGAATGGGGGTCCGTGAATGCAAAGAAGGGCTGCTCCTCCAAAAATGCACAAGGGCAAAAACAGTTGCACCACGCGAGGTCTGGCCCTGATACGCCGTGGCCTTCTCAAGCAACGAACACCTGAAACTAAACAACTCCTTCAAGGAATTGCTGCACCTAGCTTTCCCCCTTAGTCCCTTCCCTTTGTTCTTCTCCACGCCATAGTTTCAGGGCTGGTACCCCCAATTTAAAGAAATTGCGCTGCTAGGTTTTCCCCTCAGCCCCCTTCATATTTTCCAAGAAAACCAGAAACAACTCATTCCAGAACCACATAAACAAACAAACAAACACAACACTCAAACAAAACAATCAAACACTCAAACAATCAATCAATCAATCAATCAATCAATCAATCAATCAATCAACCAATCAATCAATCAATCAATCAATCAAACAAACAAACAAACAAACAAAACAACCAAACAAAAAAACCTCATGCCCAAGAGGGTTCCTTTAAGACCGCCATACGTCCCATGGTTTTTGACGCCCTTAAAGAGGGGACTCCCCAAAACAGGAACCCTACAAGCCCCTACTCAGTCGCTATTAGCCCCTATTGGGATTGGGGGATGCCTATTGACGGGCACCGTAGGAATATGGCCAAACGGGGTTCCCTACATTTCCCTCAAAAATCACACATAAGGAATCTCACTTTGGCCCAAAAGGTGAGATCTTGCATAGGTTGTGTAGTCACTAGAGACAAGCCTAATGGGTGGCAATTTAGGTGGCTAGCCACTTAGCTGAACATCCAAGTTCCCCAATTGAATTTGAATAGGGGACCCTTTGATTGTCATCATTCAGGTGGGGATTCACGTCCACCAACCACTGAGGTGGTTCCCTATTTAAATCCATATGACCTATTGTGGGGGAGTCGGGCTCCTCCTGGACAAATCTAAGACGGTTTCCAATGCGGAAACATGCGGAAACCCCTACCCTGAAAACAAGGTTTCTTCTCAGAAGGGGCTTTCTAAGCCCCGCCACTCCTGGCGCTGAACTGCAGCTAGCTTGTCTTAAGCCGCTTCAAAAGGACATCTGCGAAGTCTACCTCCCAGCCTTCTTCCCGGCGCTTCTGGCCTTTCCCAGCCCCCTGCAGCACCATCAGCATGCTATGGTCCGACATGAGTGTCTCCCCAAGCCTTTGACTCCAAAGCTGCCAGTTCTCTACAAGCAAAGGCCCTGCTGAGTGCCACATCCAGCGCAGCTGGCTGTCGGGCCGCCTCGGCCGCGCGGGCGCTCTGCTGCAAGTGCTGGGGCGATGATGCTGCTGCATCCACTCGCAAGCATTATGTTCTCCGAGCTGCAAGGACTTTCGAACTCCCAGGCCTTCAAGAAGGCCAGCTGGCTGGTGCGCACACTGCTGCTCCCAAAGCCAACTCGTCAGCAGCTGAAGCCTATCCGCCCACTTCCTGCCGCGGACGCCAGGGACAGACGGCAACAAATCCCGCAGGCCCTCTCTGGCATTCTCCCCCATCATGGCACACAGGCGGTCGTTGAAGACATCTTCACCCCATAGCACGCCAAGGTCGCGCGCCAGCACGGCAAAGAAGAACGCATTCTGCAAATGCGGCAGCCCAAAACCTTTACGTAAGAAGTCCAAAGTCTTCTCGTTCCCTTGCAGCGCTTTCCAAGGAAAGGGCTGGTGCTTCACAAGGCACTTCGCAAAGCGCGACAGGAGCTGCAGGCCAAGCTCTTCAGACTTCCCGCTTTCCCCAGTGAAATTCTGCGGAAGAAATCTGGCAGTGTAGCCCATGACAAAAGGGAGCTGGAGTTGCGTAAGGACACGCTGCGCAGCAGCTTCACTCCACGTGGATGGTGTAGGCAGCGCTCCTTTGTCGGCCCGGTAATGCAACAAAAACTTCTCTAGGTTTTCCACATTGTTCAGCACGGTTCTTGCCAAGGCCACGCAGAAGAGTAGACCAAGTTCGTCACGAGCAGCCATGCACATGTCACGACACGGGCCGTACAAGTACACACTCATTCGGTCCAAGCGGTAGTGAGCCTGGCAGTGCCTGGTTTCAGCAAACGTACTTGACTTGGAGTATTTCTCAAACCGCTTCCGCATTGGGAATCTCTGTTTGGCACACCAGGCCGGGTACAGCCGGCACGCAGCGATCCAGAGACCAGTGCCCACCATCAAAGAAAACATGTCTAAACTTTCCTGAAAGCCCTCCAAAGCTTGGCCGCACTCGCCGCAGAAATACCACGAAGCGCCTGCATTTCGGCCGGCGCCATAATCCACGTACCCGAAACGCTCCAACAACGTCTTGCCCTTCTTAGGCACCGGGTAGTGAACCCCACATGGCTTGTCGCAGCATACGAACGTGCGCCCCATCAGGCATGCTCAAAGAGTCCCATATACCCGTAAAAAAGGGGGTTCCGGGCAAATCATATGATTCGCATGAGTTCTTTTCTCAGCCGACACCCCCCACAAAACACACGGAACCCCTCACATCCAAATGAGGAAGTCTCAAGCAGATGGTCAGCATGCATCCGAAGCCAACATCGTTCTTCTACACCAATTTTGTGAGCCAGAAAGTGTCGGTTGGCATTTCCACATATGGGGTGGTTGGAGGTACGGAAGCCTACACATAGCTTGAAAGGTAGGGGGTACACCTGGTACACAACCTCCACACCTAAACCTATTGGAAAGTCCCTTGAACCAAACCAAAGCCTTTGATACATTGGTGTGGCTACCAAGGCTTACGTGTTCACTTCCTAAGGTCTAACCGTGTTGTCAGACTTGGGAAATGAGCTGGCCTGACCAGAATCCTTAACCCAGGTAGAACCATCCTCTGGTCAACTGGGGGCAATTGGGGCAGCTCAGAGGAACCCACTTCAGGAGATGGCCCCGTGAGAAAGTGGTCCAAGCTAGTGCGGTAGTAGGAACCCAGATTCAAGCAGCAGATGCACCGGGTATGCCTACACCCATTAAAGAGTCCTGGTATACCTAAACTCCTGGTATACCTCCGGGACCCCCGAACACACATGCACTTTCACTGGAGCCCCGTGACCACTTTGCTTCCGAGCACGGGATGGAGATAGGTTTCACCTGCCCATGTAAGTTGATATCCTTCTTTGATGGGATTAGGCCCATAGTTTTTCACCCTCCAAAAAGTGTTCGGCACCTGGGCTGCCGGGACCTTTGCCCGAACACTTATCTCTTCGTTTCCCCCCGTAATTGTTAGTATTCCATGCATTTCTGCTTGCTCCGTGTGCACGAGGCTAGCAGAGCACGCAGAAATGTGGTTGAGCTCTTCTATTCCCCCGTGTCCCACCACGTAAATGGCCCCCCTTTATTTTTAGTGTTCCATGCATTTCTGCTTGCTCCGTGTGCACGAGGCTAGCAGAGCAGGCAGAAATGTTGTTGAATTCTTCTCTTCCCTCGTGTCCCACCAGGTAAATGGCCCCCCGTAGTTGTTAGTATTCCATGCATTTCTGCTTGCTCCGTGTGGGTAAATGGCCCCCCTTTATTTTTAGTATTCCATGCATTTCTGCTTGCTCGTGTGCACGAGGCTAGCAGAGCAGGCAGAAATGTTGTTGAATTCTTCTCTTCCCTCGTGTCCCACCAGGTAAATGGCCCCCCGTAGTTGTTAGTATTCCATGCATTTCTGCTTGCTCCGTGTGCACGAGGCTAGCAGAGCACGCAGAAATGTGGTTGAGCTCTTCTATTCCCCCGTGTCCCACCAGGTAAATGGCCCCCCTTAATTTTTAGTATTCCATGCATTTCTGCTTGCTCCGTGTGCACGAGGCTAGCAGAGCAGGCAGAAATGTTGTTGAATTCTTCTCTTCCCTCGTGTCCCACCAGGTAAATGGCCCCCCGTAGTTGTTAGTATTCCATGCATTTCTGCTTGCTCCGTGTGCACGAGGCTAGCAGAGCACGCAGAAATGTGGTTGAGCTCTTCTATTCCCCCGTGTCCCACCAGGTAAATGGCCCCCCTTTATTTTTAGTATTCCATGCATTTCTGCTTGCTCCGTGTGCACGAGGCTAGCAGAGCAGGCAGAAATGTTGTTGAATTCTTCTCTTCCCTCGTGTCCCACCAGGTAAATGGCCCCCGTAGTTGTTAGTATTCCATGCATTTCTGCTTGCTCCGTGTGCACGAGGCTAGCAGAGCAGGCAGAAATGTGGTTGAATTCTTCTCTTCCCTCGTGTCCCACCAGGTAAATGGCCCCCCGTAGTTGTTAGTATTCCATGCATTTCTGCTTGCTCCGTGTGCATGAGGCTAGCAGAGCAGGCAGACATGTGGCTGAGCTCTTTAGCGTTCCATATCTTTTGTATTTATGTTACTCTTAGCGGTAATATTCGACGTCGAGCATGTCTTTCATGCCGAAGCTGACGGCAGGGTCATCCGCTTTTTTCGCGATTCCAACGGGCAAAAACTCCTTCAGTCATGGACGTCAAATTTTGTCCCGGCAGAACGTTTGTTCTCCAGGCACGCAGAGCACAAAGACTGGTACTTGGGCCTTTGGTTGCGACCATGCATGTGCAGCGCCTCATGATTCTCCCGGAAGTCTTGCTGCGGCGGCGGCGCAGGCCTCCCCAAGACCCTCCTCTCTGGGATGGTCCAGGGCCGGAGGCGTACTTTCCACCTTCTGATGCCCATCCCAGTCCATGGCGCCAGGAACAGCTTGCGCGCACGAAGGCTCTGCAAGGATGAGCGCACAGCGGGACACAGACTTAGTCGCACCAGAGGCACAAGACCTAGATCTTCCATCTGCTTGAGGGTCCCTGACGAACTTGAAGGCTCCGAAGAATTCACGGGGCCGAAGAAATCGAGTGCTCCTGAGAGTCTGAACCCCTGAGAACTTGAGGGTCCCTAAGAATTTTATGAGGGTTTGCAAGAACTTGAAGGCGCCTAAGAATTTGAAGGTCCCTAAGATTTTCCTGGAGGCCCTAAGAACTTGAGGGCCCCTAAGAATTTGAAGGTCCCTAAGAATTTCTGGAGGTCCTAAGAACTTGAGGGTTTGCAAGAACTTGAGGGCCCCTAAGAATTTGAAGGTCCCTAAGAATTTCCTGGAGGTCCTAAGAACTTGAGGGTTTGCAAGAACTTGAGGGCCCCTAAGAATTTGAAGGTCCCTAAGATTTTCCTGGAGGCCCTAAGAACTTGAGAGTTTGCAAGAACTTGAGGGCCCCTAAGAATTTGAAGGTCCCTAAGAATTTCTGGAGGTCCGAAGAACTTGAGGGTTTGCAAGAACTTGAAGGTCCCTAAGCATGTGAGGGGCCCGAAGAATTTGAGCACCCCCGAAGACTTTGAGTGGGCTCCAAATGTTCCTGTTTGTCAAAGGATGCCTGGGAGTGTGTCAGGATTAGCAAGACCCTTTTTCCACAAGGTCAAATGGGCCATGGCACTGATGACAAGCACTGGTGACATTTTTCGGCTATCTTTCAAAACAGAGGCCCCTGCTGCAGATTGCTTTGGCTATGTTTCAAACATAGGATGCCCCCCAAAAAGCTGGTGTCCTTTTGGCTTGTTTTCACGACCAAATCCAACCCAGGATGAAGAGAAGAACCACCAAATAAGTTCCGAAAGCTGGGAGTGTGTCAGGATTAGCAATACCCTTTTTCCACAAGGTCAAATGGGCCATGGCACTGATGACAAGCACTGGTGACATTTTTCGGCTATCTTTCAAAACAGAGGTCCCTGCTGCAGATTGCTTTGGCTATGTTTCAAACATAGGATGCCCCCCAAACAAAGCTGCGAAGCCTGACTTTATCAAACCTCGACCGGGCAGGCCACCGCGCCTGGCTAGCCATCTGAGACACATCGGCCCGGCAGTTTCGCCGAGCAGAATGGATCTACATGCTGTTTATCGAACCTCGACCGGGCAAATGGACATCCCCTACGGGCAGATGGACTCCTTATGCTGTGCATCTTGGAAACCATCCATGTTCTCATTTGTTCCCTAGATATGCGGGAAACTCACCACCCATAAACCTCATTTGCTCACCCCGAAAAGTCGGGCGCCGGTCACAAACTTTGCTTAAGAAGCGCGGCAAGCTCACAGACGCACTCACTCACATGCCAACGCCAACAAAAACGAGCTTGAAAAAAATCAAATAGAGAGCCCTGCTACCCAGATAGCGTGCAGCGGGCCTGCTGCCTTGCTGCCCTGCTGCCTTGCTGCCCTGCTGCCTTGCTGCCCTGCTACCGTGCTACCCTGCTGCTCTGCTGCCCCTGCTGCCTTGCTACCTTGCTACTCTGCTACCTAGGTAGCGGAGCTGCGACCTAGGTAGCGAGCCCTGCTACCTAGGTAGCGTGGCAGCGGGGCAGCGCTCAAAAATCACTGACCTACATAGCGGCCGCAATGGGAAAGTGCTGCTATTATCAAATATATACGTTCTTTGAGGTTCTCTCAACATGTTTTACTCACACCCTAGCCAGACTTAGACTACGCCAAAGACGCCCGCCGCTTACGAAACAAAACGGAAGAAACAACGTCGTCCCAGGCTTCAAGGGTGATTTTTAAGGGTAACTAGTTTCAAAGTTGCGGACGCTCTAGCGTTGCAAGGGAAGGTTTGCCATAGTACAGCAACTTACAGTTGGTAGTTTAATTAGCTGCTAAGGGGCGCAAAGCTTGTCGGAGAGGCCGTTTGTAATTACCCCCGCCCCCCTTTCCCCCCCAAATCCCAATGTTATAAATACATGCTGCATAATTGCGTTCAACAGCTCTACTTACAAAGCCAACATCTTGTCCGCACTAAGCCGGGCACGCTCACCAAGTTCCACCATGCCTTCCATCGCCAGCAGTAGCAAAAGGATTGATAGGAGCTTTCTGGAAGAGCACACGCGCATCAGCCTTTACAACCTTATCTTAAATCCATTTGCATATGCAAGGCAAGGCACGCAAGGCTCCGTGTAACGTAAATCTTTCAACACAGCCGAGCAAGTGAAAACCTATATTCGGTTCTTCATACATCACATATCTTCCATAGAAACGACACCCCGAAGCAGCCGTAACTCAGTCTCCTTCACTATTAAGTAGCAGCCCTTACGCCAAGCAAAGTCTTCGTTGCCATACTTATAGGCCAAGGTGTATGCCCATGTGAATAGCGCCCTGCCCGTACTCAACTAGCTGAAAATCGTCAAAGAAGAGGAAACGCTTGTTCTTGGACAGGTTAGCCAAAGCGAAGCTACTATTAAGCACAAATTTGTGAAAGACCTAAGCGTAGCCAAACAAATTATCGAACGGCAATAACAACGCGGTCTTGCCAGAGTTGCTAGCCGACGATAAAGGGGCAGTGTGTCGTTTTGGAGGGCCCCGAGACGATAATGGCCTATAGGGCGGCTGCCAGTTCCACCGGGCCTTAAAGAACTTACACGCCGCTTCCGCGTA